AAATAATATCATATATATACGCAAGGCTGGGCATTACCTAACGAGTTAAAAAGTTAATTTAATTTTAACTTAACTAGTTACTTTTGGCATTTCATAAACTTAACTGTTAATTTACTAAATTTCTTTTTAATTATTGGAAAATTAACGAATCCGTTTTTTTTTTTTAAGAAATAAGTTAAGTTAATTTATTTTGTTTTTAATTTTATTATATTTCACTATTTTAGTCTATTACGTTTTCATGTCAACAAATATTTACAGTGAATTGTTTAAACTTAAAAATGTATATCATTCGAATCTAACTTATATGGAAATACAGTATAAAGTATAAACACTAGGGTCTATAATTTTGTTTTCGGTTGGAAAAAAAATAAGTAAGCTAGCTTTGTATGAACAAATTAACTTTTTTTAACTTAATAAAAAGTTAACAAAAAGTGTGTATTAACTTTTAACTTACCTAACTGAGTTCACCTATAGTTAAATTAACTTTTACTTTTAACTTTTTGTTATTCAATTGGTGCATATTAACTTAAGGGGATTCGATACCGTGATTTTCTGTTTTTGTCTAACACACGCGCGAAATAGTATTTTAGACGTGTCTTTTGCCAAACATACCAATTGATCTAATGAAGCGATAAGAAAATTGACTTTCCCACATTTTTGATATTACTCCCAAATTTTTTAAAAGGTCATATTCAAAAAGAGTATTTAAAAATTCTGTTATTTCAATTTTTGGAGAAGTTAAAATCAAAAAATCAAAAATGTGGGGAAGTCGATTTCAAGTAGACTTGACGACAAATTCAAATCTGTTTTCAGAAATCTTATCGCTTCAATAGATCAATTGGAATGTTTGGCAAAAAACACGTCTAAAATACTATGTCACGCGTGTGTTAGACAAAAACAGAAAATCACGGTATCGAATCCCCTTAACAGAGTTAAAAAAAATCATTAACTTTCCGAGTCTTGTATATATGTTTATCAGAGTGCTTCACCCAATGCAATATTTTTTATCATTCCAAAAATAGACACACACATATACACAGGCTACAGGTCACAGAGACAATTTACTAAAAATGATAGACAATATTTAATATTTATTTGTATCTTTACCTGTTTGGACAAAAAATTTATATTTTTGTGATTCCATTATAATTTATGAAATCCTTAATTTTATACACATGATGACATTTTCATGACTTGTATATTTTTCATTCTAATCATTTCAAAATTAGATTTTTTTTTTTTTGTCCTTGGTGAGGATTTATCCCGACCCCCTTCCCCCCCATTTGTACGCCACTGCTATAGTCTATAATTATTGTTTTGTTTCTAGTGCACGATACGGCCACTGGCACAAAGACAAAGGAAAGGGGCAACCACTTATAAAAAATGTTCCAAGAGTAATAATTTTTGTGATTGGAGGAATCAGTTTTTCTGAGATGAGATGTGCATATGAAGTAACTAGTAATGTAAAAAACTGGGAAGTTATTATAGGTAATTATAGTATTTTTTTTCTAATTATTTTGCTTTTTACTTTGATATTAAATTATATTTAATGTGTTTTTGACAGGTGCATCTCACATCCTTACACCAGAAGATTTCATCAATAATTTATCAGCTTTAAGTCAATAAAGATTGTCCAATTCACACTTTATATGATTTTATAAGTATGCCCTTAAAAAGTTAAAATCATGAAATTTTTAATCAAAATTTAAATATCATACAGTACAATATTATGGAATTAATACAAATAATCACACATGGTCATTGGAATTTTTACAAATAAATAAATTGATGTTATGATTCTGAAAGAATCTTAGTGTCGTTCTTACGATGTGCGGTAAGTGTCAGTTAACGCTAACCGGACATTGTAAGAAAGGCCCTTACTCTAATATTTATAATAATAATTAAAAATAAATTTTCCCAAATATTTTCTGCAACATATATTTTGAAATGGTAGAAGGAAATTTTACCATTTTTGTTTTGTAAGTATGGATTTGAAAGATGGTGTTTGCACAAATATTTTTTGTTTTAATAAGCCTTAGCTCAAAATAAAATAATTTAATTACTGTATAAAATAAATGTTATGATAATTTACCTCAGATTTTTTTATGAAATTAAATTAACTCAATACCAATATCAATTAAAATTATTAAAAGTAATATTACATGAATATATTGATTAAGTATTATGAAAATATAACTTAATATTTAATAATAATTATATAAAACAGTGCAGCGTCAGATATCCAAGGGACCACAAATTATATCTGCTGTTGAGAATAATCTGCACAAATATATGCATTTGTTTTAATAATTTTGTACAAACATAACATCTTATTATAAGTATTACATTTTAGTTAGTATACCAAACCAATTAAAAAATCATATTTATTTTATATATAATATAATAGAATTGTATAACAATTATATCAAATTTTTCTCTCTGGAGCTAACTGAATAAAACTAAATATTATTGTTGTTCAAGAAAAAATTAAACCTATATTATATAATTATATTCTTCCAGGCTTAAAAATATATAACTGTGTTATAAAGAGTTAATAAAATTAACTATAAATAATATGTTTATAAAAATATTGTTCAATTTTATTTTATTTTTTTTATGTGTACCTATGATGCGTTTGTGTATTTGTGTGTTATTAATATATAGATTTTAAATTTTAATTTCAAGCAGTATTTAAATTAAAATATCAAATAATTAAAACAAAATAATCCATTTTTATTATTATATTATACACTTCAATTAGTTTTATGATTTATAACTTGTTGAAAGTTATATTGTTGTAGAATTAGTTTTGCAATAATTATTGAATGCATGCTTAAACACTATGAATTATATAAGTTAAAATAATCTAATTTAAGATCTTACAAAAATAAGTATTCATTGTATTTTATCTTAATATCGGTATGTTTACTTGGTGATAATTAATGTCGTTATAGCGGATAGCCATTTGTAAAGGAGTGATAACAATAGTTATATTATTTTGTTATACTATTCATATTGATGCATAAACAAATACTGAATATTTAATAAATCAATATTGAGTTAATAGTCCTTTAAACATGATAGGTTCATTATATTTTAGTGAACTTTAATTTAATCAATTTTTTATACAATTATAAATATACATTTCACGTGGTTAATATACTCACAAACATATCAAAGTACATTAAAATTACTCCTTTGCTAACAGTGGCTTAATTTATGTAAATGTTTAACTATCTCTAAGAAAGTTTGTTATGTTATTGTGAGGTAGTTCAGTAGCCATAATTATTATTACTTAAATATTTTAAAAATTAATTTGTTTTCAAAAATATAGTACATTGGAACCTCCCTTAATGGATACCTCCGAATAACAGACAACATTTATCCACCGAGAGTGTCCGGTATTTAGAGATTTCACTATATTATATTTATTAAGTAATGAACGTTTATACAGTTTTAAATAACCAGCACCTAGTCTTAACAGAATAATAGGTAATTATTGTAATTTACTCATCACTTATGTTTTATTAACAGTAGTATTCTATAATTAAGTTAGTATATAGAATAGTTTTGATAGTATTAATGTAATGTAATTTGTAGTCTTAGAAAAAAATGTACAAAGGCGGAAATATGTTAAATGGCGAGGAGCACAGATGGCCTTTGCTACAGTTTTGGTTTTGGTATTTGAATAAAATATGCTAAGTTAAAAAAAAAAACTCATTATCATTGTCATTTGATATACCTAGATAAAAAAAAAACTTTTTGAATTTTATTAATGCCACAATGGTTTTTAAATAACTATTTTTATTAAATGTGTTCCAATTTTAGTTGCTGAAAAAGCTGTAATGGTGAGATAATAAAATAAAATATCATAAACCTTCTGAAAGTTCTAACTAAATCTATTAGTACGATTCAGCATTATTTCAATAATATATTTTTAAATGAAAATTTAATATTTGAAGGTTTATTAAAAAATAGAAAAATAGTACCATCATAATTTATATACTACTTTTTTTTTTGTATTTTTCTTAGTGAAATATATAAATTATTTAATACTTTTGAATGTGGATATCTTGTTCAACAAAAAAATAGATGCTTTCAATAAAATTGCTAAGTTTATGAAGACAATAATTAAAAAAAATTCCATAACCAAAATTAATATTATACTTGTTAGGATTGTTGATTGTTTAAGTATTATGATAAATTCAATAGAATAATTCTTAAATGTTTGATATAACAAAAATAGTTTAATACTTTAATAGCTTTTTATCTATTTCCATTAATTATAGAACTTGATAAACAAAATATGTAAGCCAGTGGCGTATTTACCATGGGTTTGATCAAGGGGATAACCCCCCCTCCATATAGACTGTATATAATAATCAAAAGTTTTAAGAGTTCGAATTTAAGGTTTCTAACTTTAAATGTTGGACTACTGGATAAAATCATATCCCCCCCAAGACAAAAACCTAAATATGCCACTGTTGTAAACCAAACCTACCAATTAGTACTTTTACATAATTTATTTTGTAGTTAACAATAATTTCATTAATCAAATTAATAAATAAAATCATTATCTATACCTACTCTTTACTTTCAAGCAATACATTGCGTAACACCAACAGTTATTAACAAAGTTAAAATACAATAGGTATAATATAATATAATTACATGCTAATAAGAAAAACTTAATGAACAATAAAATATAATTATTAGTGAAATAGCATTAAATACCTAGCTGGCTGTTGATATAAATTATTATAATTTTGTAATGGTTTTTTATAATAAAATTATGATCAAAATACACTGTGCAAACTCTAATAAAATAAACAATTATAAATTAATATAGTAATAGTAACAAAATAAACAGAGTTAACTCTAATGATATTAAAATAAAATAGATATAAAGTATAAAATTAATCTTAAAAAGACTATAGTATTTGTATTTAAAACCGTTACAGTGTAACTCACGAACATACTAAAATTTTTTTATTTACCTATTAAGAAAATCCCATTTTTTTTAGTTCTTTCTTCAGTGCTGATTTTTTCTTTTTGTGATTAGATAGTGCTGTTTTAGTAATTGTTTCTTTTTTTTTATTAAACATGCGTAGTATCACAGCCTTTTGAATATCTAAGAAATCTTTTACTGTAAAATCTGATTCCTTCTTACCTATTTCAACAAATTTACATGGAGGTTTGGATGACAAGTTTCGGTTCCTGTGTTCTTCCCAAGGCTGGTCAGTCTGTTCCCAACCATCCAATTCGATGAAACATGAAAAGCATTTAACCGTATCGGGTGTATCCTGGTTTGAGCAATAAAAACCTGCTTCGGCCATTTCCTTTGCACTAGGTTTAATCATTGGCCAATTTTTTAGCGAATTAAGCCTATTCATCTCCCAAATATAACAAATTGGTTCTGATGTAAGAGCTCGGTTATCGATATGATTCATGATTAAATTATTTATATTATCCATGATGAGAAAACAGTAAAAATGTATGGTACAATTAAAGAATGTTGAGTCTTGAGTTAAGATATAGTGTTACAAATATTATAAATATTAGATCGAATATGAAATAAATAATAATACATCTGTTGGCTTTTATAATTAAATATTTAAATCCACGATAAAATATTTTAGTAGAAAATAATTATAGTATTTTTGTAGTACCCACCTGATTACCTATATCATTTATTTTATCATGATTACATTTTTAAATCACAATAATATTATGAACAACAACATTTACTCTGGGGAGGGAGATTAATATTATACTCACGTAAACTCGTCGTGTTAATTAACTAGGTAGGTACCTACTCATTTATTAATTTTTGATAATGATAGTACACAAGTACAACAATATTATTAGTAGGTACACACTTGTAACATTTTCTGTTCCGCCGGCGACATATTCGCGTAGGTATTTTGGCGTATTTTCGTGCATACAAAATTACAAAAGAATAAATATTTAAATACATAAAACATATTATTACTTATTAATTTCCATAAAAACAGTTTTAAGGGGGCTGCACCGCAGCATGTTTAGGGAGTACTATTTAGGCAATTCAAGTGACATGCAAATTAATACTGTACCTATGTGTGAGTAGTAAATGAACATTAGTGTGCTTAATCCGTTATCGTTTCCGAGAATCGCTGCACGTCGAGTCGGGCAACAGCGCCGGAAGCAACTCTCACACGCCCACGCACATGTCAATACATTGCGAAAAATTAAATATATTCTTGTTTGCATGACTATAAAACTACTAAAAGCGGTAGTAAATTAATCATACTTCCCGAAGTCCGATTGTAATTTTGAAAAAATGGTTGAATTTATAAGATTCTAGACTATGCTTCTTAGGAATCACTTTTTTTATTTAAAATCAGATGTGCAAAAAATAAATACAAATGTAATGCAATTATTTTATGGGATTTCTAAAAAAAAAATGGTTATTTCAGGGTCATTTTAAATTGAAAATTGAAAATCAACTTCCTAAGAAACCTAGATATTTTATCAATGAGTTCAAACATGTATAAAAAATTTAAATCGGACATTCTGAAGTAGGTATGTGTAATTTACCACCGCATATTGGTCTAAAACAGTAAAACGTATGAAAAATACGTTGGCTGCAGCCCCGTTAATAATAAACATATTTTTATTTAAAGGCAGGGATGAAGTTTACGAGGGTAGGTAAGTGGTTCGCATTTAAATCCTTATCATTCCTTATGGACAAAAATACACCACGTTCTACTTTGTGTATCGTAAGTAAAAATAATTTAAGGACATTCACTTATTGTAATAAAATTAATAAGTTATCATGCACAATATTGTATACTATATGAATCATTATAGTAAATAGCTATATATAGGCTAAGCATATCTACTGTTCTTGCCATGAAACGCGCCCTTCGTTCATACAGTAGTCGGCAATTTCGTCACGAATTTCTTGCTCGATTGATGTTCATCTCCGTAGTACATTTCTTAGGGAAATTAATGTATTTGAATTTTGATTTTCAATTCGCCAGCTTCCTCCTATTAATTCACCATTAGTTTCAAAATCAAAAGTTCCAGGTGGTGTTTATTATATATAGGTACCTATATTAACCGAATGGATACTTTTTCTCAGAAAATTGTTCAAATGAGTTACAGCGATGATTACTATAATTTCAGCCTTCTCCGGTTCTAATAAAATATACTTTCGTAGCACTCGAAATACCGATGATGATATGCCGAATATATTTTCGACAACATGGCGTGCTCTGTACACAGTCGATAGTTGAAATTTCTTTTTACCTTTTTGGTGCATGCCCGAGTATACTTTCATTAAATTATTGTTTAACTGAAATGCTTCGTAGCCAATCATAAAGCATGGAATGGATTTTGTTCTGCTAAGTAAAGATGTTGGACTGTTGGAGATGGTAGGGAAAGTGATTGGTTTTCCATATTTAACGAATTGAACTAGTGTTCAATGATTATTTTATTAATATATGGAATGGTAGCTACTATGAAGCTAACGGTTTAAAAATCCAATTAAAGAAATTGTTGTAACTTCACATGAATGGTGCAAAAACAATTTTGGACGTCTAGTTTGGTAACGCATAGTTCATCGATGACTGAAAAGCCCTGTTATTATTTTCAATTTTATATTTGTAGGTACACTACATTACTACCTACATCAGCAGTGGTTTATAAATAATATTTTTTTACACATTTATAATTTAACTAATTCAACCTTTTTAAAATGTTATGCAAGTATTAAGTAAAAAAAATATATTAAGGTAGGTAAAAAATAATACATACATGTCTACCTACATAGTCAGAGAGAGGTAGGGGTTACACGATCATTGAAAGTATATAAATATTAGACAAAAAAAAAAAATTGTACAAACATTTAAAACTGTGAACATATTTTAAAGTATTTTTTTTTACTATGATGACCACCTCGCATGTTAAAATGCTGTCAGTTGGGCTCTGAATGTGATTTAATTGTCCTGAATGTACAACATGACTCCCTAAATAACAAAAATTTACTAACTAAATTCAAAAATTTGACCTATCCGATACCTAATACTTTATAGGTGTTACAAGTTCCTATACAGATTATAATGACAATTATTATAAAATATACCATTCAATTTTATTATAATTTGATGAGGTAACAATTTTGAACTCAGATTTACCAATTTTTTTAGCAAACGATTAAACAATTAGTTATTATATTACATTAAATTTTGTTTATTTTATGATGTAGGGAAGTTTATCTTCTACATCTACTAAGTTCATTATAAATTATAATCTAAATATATCAAACTGATAACAGTATACCTAGTCACAAATAATAATATAATTTAATGTAATTCCAGTATAAACTTCATAATGAAGTCATAAAATATTAATTCGAATGAAAAAAAACTATGTAAAAACAATGAAAAATACATGTTATATGTTCAGTGACCTCTACCATGTGATTTTGCATTTGACTGTCCTAAATTAATGTTTTTTCATATTCAACATATTTTAAAGTATTTTTTTTTTACTATGATGACCATGCGAGGCGCATGTTAAATTTCTGTCTGAATACTGCACAGTATTTAGAGGTGGAAAAGCTGGGAACAATCGCTGCAGGTACCACATGGCACATCAGTTGAGCTCTGAATATACAACATGACTTCCTAAATATCAAAAATTTAAACAGAAGTTTATCTTATTTACATATTGGTACCTACTTCGTTTATAAATTATTAATTAATTGATGTCGCAACTAAAATATATGTAGATATAGCTCCTAAATTATAATCTAATTTTTCAAACTGATAACAGCTAGTATAGTCACATGGTTTATTTATTGACTACCAGACTATCTACCAGCTATTATTAATTTGTCAACAGGAATATTAAATTGATTTTTGACTTGCTGTCATGTTTAAACTTTAATTGTACATCTCCGTTATAGTTGTACTTTTAATTTTAAGTTGTTAGTGTTTAAAGCATCTTAGCATTTTCACTACCTAGTTAGGTATTTTTAAGCTCTGGTTGTTTGGGTATTTAACTTGTTGGTGGTAGTTCTCTGTTTCTGCATTTCTGAATAATCAATTATATTGTATTCATAATGGATGAATTCATTAAGTTCTTAAAAAATAATAATATCATTGCGGTTCTATCAAATGAAGTTTCTAATATAAATGAAAAGACCTCGATTCTTAGAGCCAATATTAATAATGTCAATGAAGTCACCTTACTGTGCTGGCATACGCAATATTTATGAAACATGATTCAGAAAAAAAAAAATGTCTTATACATTAATATTAATCAAATAATGAAAACTATTTTTACTTACCTTGATGGATTGTCAAGCTGACCAACACGAATCCAATTAGTTTTCGAAAATTCTTGGTAAAGCATTATGAAATTCTCAACTTCATTAACATTATTAATATTGGCTCTAAGAAAACAACACAAACAACTAAAATATCGTTGCCATGTACGTGAATGTTTCAAAAATCTACAATTCATACCTGTGTCACATAGTTACCACTTGTCAATATTCATTTCTTGTGTTCATTACGGATAAATTTCATTCCTATACGTATTTCTGTATAATCTTCTCCGTTAATTGTGCCTATATAATATTTTCAAATAAATATGTCATATAGATGTGTATCTATGCCTAACATGGCTGCGATGTGTGAAAATTCCTCAGCCAAATCGACAGATATTGGATGGCGATCAACGCCAAATCTCAAGTTTAACCGTACCAATGATATACGAAGACCGGAACCGTCGAAAAATTGTGATTCCGAGGATTTTCTGGACGGCAGGTTCTGTGTATCTGAGCCGAACATTCCCATACATCCAAAATTAGCTGGCAAGACAGCTGTAGATATTGGGTGGCGATCAACGCCAAATCTAAAGTTTCAGCAGGTCACCAGCGATGTACGGAAACCGGAACCGTCGAAAAATTTTGATTCCAAAGGTTTTCTGGACGGCAGGCTCTGTGTATCTGAGCCAAACATCCGCATACATCCAAAATTAGCTGGCGAGACAGCTGCAGATATTGGGTGGCGATCAACGCCAAATCTAAAGTTTCAGCAGGTCACCAGTAATGTACGGAAACCGGAAAGTCCGAGACACACAAGTCCTCGTCGTTCATTTTGGCGCCAGACAAAGAAATTTGTCAGGCGGTTAATTTGTTGTTGTGGTTCTGTTGACAAGATAGACCAGTAATATGTATATTATAGAAATTAAAAGGTTTTTGAAAATCCCCTCCTCTCCCACCGTTATCAAACTTTTGTGTTCGCTGGTACTATTCTGAAACCGTTTATCATGTCCTCCATTGTCATTTGTACCAAGTTAGTGTAGGTTAGGGTTGCCATTTATACAAAAATACAAGTCAGGACACTATAATACCCCCCCCCTCCCACAACACATTCTTTGGAATTTTTAATAATACTTTTTTTAGTCCAACGTTATTTAATAT